AGTCTCATTTGAAGCATGATCACCAAGGATGCAAATTTCCATAAGTCTTGCCTGTCCCCATTGTGGGCAACGTGACTGGTTTATATACCTCATGCCACTAACTGTTCAGATGATTGTACAAAAGTATGGCTAGAAAGGGCCTCAAAAGGGTTGGCAGGGGCCTCATGTAGCTGTCCTCTCTCTTCTGTTTTTGAAAGCTTCAGAGAGGCTTTGTTAATTAATGCCCCGTGGATTGCACAGATGTAAATGAAAGCAGAAGTTGGCCCAATTAAAACAATACTTTAAGGATCTGGGTCTGAGTGCTTAAAAGGAACATGCTGAAGCCCAATATCCTCTAACAAACCTTCATTTATTATTTTTCAGATTGACACATTGGAATTAACATATAGGAATTCAGTCATGTACAAATTCATTTTACAACATCAATTATTTCAATTCTATTAATACCAGTTCACATGTAGAGTTTATAGCTGCACCTTTTGAAAGAGTTAAGTCTTTAATTAATGTAATTTATAATAAGTTAGTATAGGTTTTTTAAGATAAACTTACTTTAATTCTATATTAAAATTCTATCTCTGGAGCCTTAATATAACCATTTTTTTAAGCCTTGTCTACACTGGGAAGAATGCTGTGTATCAAGACAGGGTGTAAATCCACAGGGCCTTCTGCCTTTCTGCAAGGCTGGTGAAGCGCCCAGCTTTTGGGGATGGTACAGTTCATTGTAAGAATCAGGCAAGGGCTGGTGCAGGATAGTGCAGCATGATTAAAGCAATCTGTTTTCTAACTCCTAAAGCATAAAGCTAATTACTGAAGGACTGGTTAGGATAACTGCTGTACTCTCTAATGAGGGGAAAATTGTTACTTTGAATATAACAGGAGAACTACCAACTTGTCACACTCTATCTATATCTTTAAATTATAGGCAGCGCCAGTGGTGATGCATGTAGTTAGAGTGGATTGGTACTTTCAGTTATAAGGTCCAGATTTTGGTTGCTGATAACAGCTAGATTATAACTACGTGGACTGAAATTTTGAATGCAGGTATGTGCCTCATATCATTTTTTAAATTAATGCTGCCAGCCCTCCTCCACAGCTAAATTACCACATCAATTCCAGGCCACAACCCACTACCCATACAACCAGATTGGGGTCAGGCCATGACCCCTCTCCTCCCCCTCCACACCACGGTAGGTAGATTGGGGCTGGGCCATGCCCCCTTCCCCCCATGCAGTTGGATTGGGGCTAGATTCAGGGCCAGATTAACCCTTTAGTGGGCCCTTGGGAAGCAAACTTGTGGGCCCCAAACCGGTTGAGACACCCCCCCCACCTTGGTGCTGCCACCCATGGGGAGTGGAGCTTGGAGCCACCACTAGAAAGCAGCTGCCATGGCAGCGAGGCCAATGAAGAGAAGGGAAGGGCAGGACAGGGCAGGGCAGGTCACGGGGCCTTTCGTATCACCACTGCAGAGGGAAGGAGCAGGGTCCCCCCCCACAGCTGAGGGAAGGAGCAGGGTCCCCCTCCACAGCTCAGGGCCCTAAGCATGAGCTTAGTTTCCCTATGCATTAATTCGGCCCTGGCCAGATTGCCCCCCAGCCTCCCTCCACATGGCCAGATTGAAGCCAAGCTGCTCTCCAGCCCTCCTCCTCACATTTGGATCAGGCTCCACTGCATCTACCCCACACACTGGATTGGGCCCAATGGCTGGATCCAGCCCATGGAGAGACCAGGAACTGCCCTTCTAGCCCACAGAGCAAAAAGATAGAGCACCACTGGTTTAATCTGATTAGTTTACTGGTAGAAGGCTAGTACGTATACCATTTAACTCCTTTCAAAAGTAGCTGAGCAAGTTTTACCTAGGCTTTCATGTCATATTATCTCCCCCTTGGGCAGAAACTAGGCCTGTAAAATGTCAGCCTCATAAGTGAAAACTCCAGACGGTTACAAATACCTGAAAACATAGGGTCAAAATGGAAGCAACATAGGCTGTTGCCACTACTCCAGCTCACATTATGCAATATATTTTATTTTCAACACCCCATAAATGAATTTTCATTGAATAAACTTTCTGGCACTCATGACAGGGAGAAGTAGACAGGATGCTTAATAGTTGTAGCCAGGGGCTAGACACATATGTATGGTAGTGGTTCTAGTCCCTGCTAAGCCAAACATTGCATACTTCCTTCTCCAAGGCACTGAGGCATCTCTGTCTGTCTAAGTGGCAGTTAGGTGGCTAAATACGTTTGAGTCTGTGGCTTAAGACAAACCATATGCTTTGCATCATTCTAAATTGCTCTCATGAGTAAATAAATTTAAAAATATATAAAGGTACGCAGAAGGTACACAAAATCGTTTCTAAAATCATTTGCTGTGGACACTTTCTGCCACTAGAATGCATCTCTTTTATCCCATATATCACTGTGTTTAGAGCCAGAAGGGGTTATTAGATCATTTAATGTGACCTCCTGCATATCACAGAGCCTTTCATTTCCCCTATATACCCACATTTTAAGCCCAAGACTTGTGTTTGTCTAAAGCACAATTTAATTTATAATTCAGATAGTGTTTCCACTGAAGAAGACTTTTATTTCTTTCAAAGTGGTGATGTCACTTATTTGAAGCTCCCAGTGGGGTTGTAGGTTGATATTTTACCTTTTAAAATAATTTAAAACAATTCTGCAAATGGTTGAAAAAGACTCTGGGGTACCCAGTTTAGTTGTCGATTTTCTAAATGGTTTAAATGCTAAAGTCTGTAAAATAAATTATATGTAGCTGGAATTAAAATGAACAAAGCCTGGATTTTTCCTTTGGGAAATGGCTTTAATTAAAAAAGAAAATGATGTTGCTTTTTTATATAAAGTTCTAGACTGGGAATATGTGTGTGTTTTAGCAAAACAATTATTTATTCAGTGTTTTAAAGTCTTGGTCCTGCATAAGGTACAGTTTCAAGAAAAAAGTCTGTACAAAGGAAGCCATATAAGGGCTGAGATGAGTTTATCCCGCCTGATTGAGCTAGCACAGGTGAGAATGTGCACAGGTACTTTTTGCAGAATGTGGAGTTACCTCAATGAATACAAAGAACTAATGAAATGTGCAAGAGTGTATTTTTTTTTCTTTTACAGAAAAAACTGCTTAGTATAGGTCCCATTAATAGATCATTAAACCAGCTGAGGAGACAGCTCTCGGTTCCATGTATTGTTCACTTTTTCAAAACCTGCTTTTTCATTTCTGGTTTTATATCTGGAAGAGAGACTCTGTTCTGCTTTTCCGTTATTGTAGACTCATTTTCTCATGACTCTGGGCCATGCTGTGAAAAGACAGGGAAGGTAGTTGGCTTTGTTCAATAGAGCATTTGGTTTGTCTTTCAATTTTCCTTTCTGCTGGTTATAGACCAGGCCTCCTGGATGCTGTGTTGCAGCCAGTAGTTACAGTGATAGTTACTGCATACTTTTTTTAGGTCTTCTTGTGATTCATACCTTGTGCTCATTTGTCTTGAAGGGTGCCTCTCTCTCCTTCCTATCTTTCCTCAGGATAAAAGTATACCGCATGACAGCTCCCTCTGGGAACTCAGGGCCCACCTTTGTGTATTTTGCTCAAGAGTTTTTCCTTAGGGTTGTTTAGGCTCTGCTGCAACTTCTGTCGCATGTCACAGAATGTTCCTTTTCTAAATTCAAATTGCTTGCTTTAAGTTTCACATGCCTGATAGAGCGTGGATAAGTGCTGTGGTTACTACTTCTCTGTTTTGAGGTTGATGTATTTGGGGTTTCAATGCAATGCACATGGCTTTTTTTTTTCCAGCTTGCCATCCATTTTAAATATCCATTTAGCTTTTCTGTGAGTATCTTTTAAAATTAAACCTCCTTTTTATTGCACAGCCTTAGAGCAAAGTCTTCTGTTCACCTGCAGAACAGTCCTCTGTCCTTCTGGAGACACTGTCACCGAAGCTGTTTGTAAGCCATTAGTTCTGATTATTGGTTTTCTTACTGTGGACAAATGTCTACTCAGAACTGACTGAAATCGCCAAGTCATTTGGCAAGGGCCATGGAAAAGCTATCGCATAAAAATGATTTTAGGGCTACTGAACACATCTACAAGCTTAAGCAAATACTAAATGACTGCTCGGTAACCAGCATTACTGTACAGGTGCAATGCTGCATGGCTAGTTTTAGCAGCTACTGTGCAGTAGCAACAAGCATGCCTGGTGACGCTATGTTGCCATAGCAATGGGATATGGTGATGTAGCTATTCACTATGGCGATGTGGCGATGTGGCATCTCATGTAGAAGCATCCACTGAGTACCAGAGAACCAAATGAGAAAATGTCTGCATACCTTTGCCATTTACAGTCAGCCCATACATGCTGTATCTATAACCCACCCTTAGGGCTTGCTGCAGATGTCTTTGTGTTCTCAGCTAGCAGCCACCCACCCAAAAAAGGGATGGGTAAATGGAAAAGAGGCAGGTCAATGGCTTTTATTCCTTTCTGGAAAGCACATACAGTCTTATATATATTGCTCCCAAGTCATCAATCTGACTCTGATGGTATGACTTTCCCAGAAAGGTTTTCTGTACCTTTCATACTTTGTTCATTTTAACTTGGGGCCAGATTCTCTCTAGCATTTTTACCAAGGCTACTTGCTACTCAACACAAATTGGGGGGGAGGGAGGGCAGAACTTGCACCCTAAAAGACTTGTCCTACACAAGGGAAGAGACAAGTAGTATTTCTGTCAATTTGTGTCCAAACTGCATAGTACATTTAAAATATAACAACAACTATTCAGATCCCCTTCGTTTTGAAATTAGTGAGAGGTTGGGTGTCTAATATCTTTTTTTATTCTGGCCCTGTGTGACAAAAGGGAACAAGGAACATATTTTTGGGATCTAATCTTAAAGGTCACAGATTTTGGCTCTCATGCATGTCAAAGCTGAGAATGCAAAAGCAGTGTCTTTATTTTTCTCCTTGGAAAAGTTCCTCACTGTGTGTTGCTGTCCTTCCTGTCAGGATCTGTCACTGTGAGGGAGATGATGAAAGTCCCCTCATCACACCATGTCGCTGCACAGGAACCCTGCGCTTTGTTCATCAAGCCTGTCTGCACCAATGGATCAAGAGCTCAGACACACGCTGTTGTGAACTCTGCAAGTATGACTTTATAATGGAGACCAAGCTCAAACCTCTTCGGAAGGTACAGTATTAATAACTTAATTCTATTCACGTGGCAAAGGGATAAGATGACTACATAACTTACTGACATAGAGAAACTTTTACATTTTCCAGATGTCTTTTTAGTTACAGTGACAGTAAAACCTAGTGGACCAGATCCTCTGTTGAACCAAAGTCAATCTATTTACTACAGCTGATGACCTGATCTAGTGTGACTCTCACTGTTTGAACAAATATATTAATATTGTATCATATGATATCTGGTTTTAGATGTCCCAATAGACTTTTCTTGTTTTGCTTTGTGTTGATGTGTTCATAGATTTTTAAGGCCAGAAGAGAGTCTGAAAATCATATAATCTTACCTACCGAATGAATATAGGTACCAGAATTTCACTCAGTATATTTTCACATTTTCACTCAGTAATGCTGAGATTTGTGTATATACATGGGATAGAAACTGGAGGTAATACAAATGATCTAGAAATTGTGTTACGTTTGTGTAGAAATTAATAATAAACTATGTGCATTAAGATAATTTAATGCAATCTAAACTAAACTATGGAGGAAACATACATCTTTAAAGTCTAATATATGCTAGCTTGGGACAAAGAGTCTTTTAGAAGAATCCTTGAAAAGTCAGGTTAATTGAAAATTGTTCATGGGGTCATAAGGAGACAGTAAATAACTGTTAGTTTGTTAGGAACGTAAATCTGGTAGGGCCTCCTGGCCTGTCAAGTCCAGTCCCTTGCATTTGTAAGCAGCAATGTACCTAAGGAGTTCCCCAAATCACCACTTCAAATCCTTACATGCCAAGTATTGCTGGAAATGTTTCCTTTTTGTCATTTCCCCTCTACTATATCATCTCACTTTGTTAAATGTTGTCATGCCCTTAGATTTGTGGCCAGTCTTGAATATGGTCAACAAACCCAATTTAAGGTTAAACATTAATGTAAAACTTCCTGAAAAGTGACCATGTAAAACTGAAACCTCTGACTCAATAGGTGGTCCTGCACAGGTACCAGAGCTTGAAAAGAAGTGGGAATTGATTCTTTTCTGTCCCTCATCCACAGATAAACTATTCCATTGATGTAGACAAGAGTAGGTCATGTAGCATTGATTTGACTTGCAAACTTCTTATTACCAATTGTAATAGGCTTTACTGTTTCCTCCTCCAACTTCTCCTCCTTCAGCTGTGCTTTACCAAAACAGCAAGTCCTGCTTAGTTCTTTCAAGGAAGAGTTGTAGGCATCTATACTGAGGAGAGGATTCGGGACATGGGAATCCAAGTTTATGGAGATGCCTTTCTACAGCCCTGGCTCCATTCCTAAGCTCTGAATAAGAGAGGATTTTTAGACACTCCTGTGCTTAGTATCTCTTACTGGTTTCTTGTTCAGTGTGTCAGCAGCCCCATAGAGGCACTTAACTGTCTCTGTCTACAGTACTGGAAGCTTAAGGTGTCTAACACAGGATTTTAAGCTCTGCTCCGGGAGCCAAGAATCTGGAAGTTAGTTGTTGCATTGGCTGTTCTGTTAGCACTTGCATCCATTATCAGAGGCCCTTTGTGTCTCAGCCTTTCATGGGCCCCTCTATAGTATATATTCATACATTCTTCTAACAAAATCCAAGAATGTATGAAAAGTCTACATCTAAATATCATGCAGTCAAGATGGGAGTCAGAAGGGACCATGAGCCAGACTCATCTGGTGTAAATCCACATGCCTCCCTTGGATCAATATCCTTATGCTAATTTTCATTGGCTTAACCTGCCCAGTGCCCTTTGCAACTTAAGCAGTATTGAATGAAATATAGAATTATCATCTTAGTGAAGCTTTGCATTGAGTAAAATCTTTTTTAAAAAGTAATATTTTACATGAAGTCAATGGGAGCACAGTGCCTTGTAGCCAACTAAATACAGCTTTAGAGGCCTAAGTTTGAAATATAAGGCTACTGCATTTAGTCTGTTTGTTTTCTTTCTTCTGATCTTCATTATCTCTATTTACGGCTATAAAGTAATTTGGTTTCACTTGCTGCTTTTTCCAATCAGCACTCGCAATGCATAATCCCCCTGTTTCCTATTTAGGAAGTCACCTTGTTATCATGCTGAGAATTAGAGAGACACAATTTAACTTGTGTTAGCATTTCTCATTCAAGTCTATCAGGTAATAGCCCCACCCCTGAGAAAGTCAATTCTCCTTTAGAAAAAAGATGGAATCTTGATAAAGTAGATGCTACAGTTCATAGATATTCAATCTGATATTTGAAGCATAGTAAAAACAGAAACTGAATCAACATATTGCAGTGATCCATATGAAATGGATGAAAGCATCAAATTAAAATGTGCATAAACACAGAGATATCTTCAAATGCCGATTTCCCCAAAGTCTCTTAGTATGATTATATTTCAAATTACTTTTCATATTTAAATTTTTCTGTCTGTTTAAAGACTTCTGGTCTCTGATGAGATATTTTCCTTTAATGTATTATCCCAACTGATTATACTCTGGTGCCAAATATGATTTTGATTTAACTTTGGAAACTTTTAAAATAACTGTTTAGGAAGCATAAGCAATTTTACAAATCATTACCATGTAATTATTATTAACCATTACATGCAAGTGCATTAACTTTTTGTTTAGAGAAACATTAAGCAAAAATTAAGGCATAATTTTATCTCTACTTAGAAGAGGAGCAGAGTTTAACAGGATCAGGATGATCCCCCCTCACAAAACCCATTACATATTTCTGTGGGTTTTCTAAACTATATAGCATTTTTCATTATTCAGAATAACTAACATCTATAACTGACGTTTGTAACTTTTAATAGTCTAAACACTGTGGCCTCTTGGTTAAGCCACTGAAGACTGTGTGCATGTATACATATATTTGTTTATAGACTGATACTTCAAAGCAAATGAAGCATTGCTTAGTCTAATGTCTTTTATAATTGAGGGATCTATCTGACTACCTTAGGTAACCCACTGATGTCTTTACTGGGGTAAAACAAAGCTAGATTATTTCCTAGCCTGATAACATTAACTTTAAATAATAAATTGATATATTGTAAGGCCAGAAGGGACCCTGGAAGATCATCAGGTCCAGTCACCTGCACCAAGCAGGAAAGATAACTGGGGGACAGGTGACCCTAGCAAGGTGACTATCTAGTCTCCTCTTGAAGATTTCCAAGATAGGTGATTACACCACCTCTGGAGGGACCTTATTTCACAGTCTGGACACCCTGACTGTGAAGAAGTTTTTCCTAATGTTGAGTCTGAATTGGTTTTCCAGGAGTTTGTGGCCATTACTCCTAGTTTTCCCCTCAGGTGCCCTGGTGAACAGTTCCTCGCTGAGCCCTCAATCTACTCCCCTAGTGTAGCTGTAAACTACTACTCATGCTGTTATAAGAATAATAAAATATATGGAAGCAATAAGCTCAATGAAATAGGTTAGCTCATACTTAAGACTATCTAAAAAGAAGAAATAATAGCCGCTTCAGGTCTCCCAATGCAACAATAAAATGGATTGGCTCTAGGTTTAGTGGAAAATTAGCTTGATTGAGATGACACTGGCTCACCTATTAGATCAAAAACAGTTATTTCTTTTTAATGCAATGGGTTAAAAATAATTATGCTTACTCTACAGAAGACTGCTGGTTAAGTTACAAGACTAGATCTACAGAACAGCTTATGTGCTCCAACAGCCAGAACTGTGATACACCTTTTTAGGCATCCTATTATCTAGAGGAATTCGAGCCTTAAATTAATCACCTAAGTTTCCAATAAAAAGGATGGGGAGGAGTTAAACACTGGAAGAATGGGATTCACAAAAGCCAATATAATCTTTCAGGAGCTACTGCAGGTAGTAAAAAATGCTGAGCACGTGGTTTATCTTTACTCCCTCTCTTCTCTGGGACACAGGCACCTTGCTTTGGCTGTAGACAGGTGTCCATCATCATTCTGAAGCCTAAAACTCTGGATTGGCATAAGCACTTTTCTCACAACATAAAATTTTCACTACACACAACTACCATCACCACCCTTCTTACCCAAGAGCTTGCTGGTGAAAGCAGCCACCTGACATGTAGGAGACCAAGTCTGCCTGAGCAGATTTGAATCTTCTTCTGCCAAGTGACTTTTCTAACCACCAGGGTATTTTGGGAGTGAGCACTGTTAGTCTCTCCTATTGAAGACATACCAATATGGGGGAGGTCAGTTGCCTGAAGAAGATAAAAGTGACTCTGTCGCCTCATTAGGATACTCACCAGAGAGATAAGAAACCCTTGAGTCGACTCTGCCCCAATGAATGCATAATTTAAAATAGTTAAACATTCAGAGGACAAAGGCCTGGAACCCATATCCCCCTTTTCCCCTGGGAGTGCACCAACCACTAGGCTATGAATATATACATCTGGTCCAACAAATAGTTATTGGATGAAAAATGGACCAGCTGCAATAGGAAAGCTTGAGAGAGCTCTGTCTCAGAATACGCTGTTGCTGTTGCTCACAACATTGACCTGTGAGCTGAAGTTTCAACTTCAGATCTCTCCAAGCAGAGGAGGGAATGTGGTTTTCCCACATTGCAGACAGGTGTGCTAAAGAACCAGCCGTTGGATAAAGCAGGACCAGTCATCACCATATTTTCTTTGCCCCACACCTATATGTCTTGTGTGTGGCTTGAATCATTGCGTGTGCTCTATGAAATGCCTACCACATCAGACCTTGCAGGTCAGGCAGGAAGAAGAATGCCTAGTTGGGGCATAGGCACCTAGCTGCTCTGCATTGACAAGATCTAGGCATTTCTGGGCTTGCACAGAAAAAGACCTCCAGACACAGGATTAGGTGGCTGGTGCACAGGGGTTTTAAGAATCTAAAACTTGGTCTGAGGCACTTAACTCCTACTTTTTGTGCCTGATGTCTTTCTCCTTACTTACTATGCTGTTACAGCAAGATAAACAGAAAAAAAAGAAAAAACTCATCTCATTGCACTCACAGCTGAGTTTCCTTGAGCCCCTGGAATTCGAAATGC